AATTCCAAAAAACTTCCACATTCCCCCCCCCCCCCCCCTTGAGTGTGTGTGTATAGATTCGATGTTGGTGCATTATTGTGATATTCAGCATACTCCTACTGTGAGATTGAAAATGCATCCATTTAGTTCATGTGTTAAACTGAAATTTTGGAATAAACCCTTTTCATTCACTCTTGCATTTTGCACACTCATATAGTGCATAGAAAGGAAGGGTAAGAAAGAGTTGAATCTTTGTTCAAGGTATTTCTTGTATGTGAAGTCAGGTTGCAAGGAGCAATTGTAACTGATTGCTACATAAAGTGAGATCAAAAGTTAAATATTTTCAGGAGTGGGGTTGGAATTTCTGTTGAATAGTGCCTCTTCAAACTGATAGGGAAATTTCTTCGTTCAGTCAAGTCCAGTATCCCCATGACTGCATGATTTCAGTGAGCCCAAGCTGATTAGTAGTTTCCATTAAGTAGTGCATTGAAGAGTCCTTTACATGACAAATTGTTCTGGACAGAGGTCAAACTGACTGAATTCATTCATTCTTGAATATAACATTGCAAGTACAATGGAAACCAACTTTATATAAATGAAGCCTTGACCTTTTTTCAAGCTCATACAAAGGCCAGTGGAAGCATATACATAACACATGGGAAAATGTTGACAAATATTTCTTGAATTTGGTTGGTGTTATCCATTGTTTTATGAGAAGGCACAAGATTTTATTTTATGGGAAGAGCTGCTGCCCTGCAGGATTTACTGCCATGTGATGTCTAAGCAGCCTCCTATTGTTATTTAAAAACAATTATTGTAATATATCAGGTGATTATGGGAAGATTATGCAGGAAAAGTAACAAGTTGCTTTGACCTTTTGTTCATGTCTCAAGAATTTGCCCCCTTTTTCTATTTTTGTTTGTGGCTTAGTTTGTTTTAAAAGTTATGCAAAAAAAGAATTTCTTGAAGACCAAAACTAAAGGATTGCACAAATAATGTTACTTCATGATTTGTAAAAGTTAAAAAACCTGCCAGCACGAGATCCAAGTAATCATTGCTCTTTGACTGCTCCCGATGGTTTTTTCCTTTGACCCTTGTCATTAGGCCATAGATATTATTTGTTGACAGAGTGGGTATTTAGTCTGTGCATTCAGCAAATCATTAACCCAGCAAACAATTTTAAACATAACATTGAATAAATGTTCAGGATGTTGATACAATGTTGGTCCAACGTAGCCTTGCTTGTTGGGAACCCTTATGCAGTCCTTCATACAGTCCCACTGGGTGGGCCATTGGTCTAGCATTCTAAAAAAAAAATGGACTGCTAAGGGCTAAACCAGCTGCTTTTTAACTTTTATGATAGGGTGGGACATGTCTCTTGTTACCCTTTACTATTGAGGAACATAGTCGTCTTCCTAAAAAAAAAAAAACGGACAGGAACAGAAAGAGGCTATTTGTAATGCCTTCACTATTAACTGTGCAACATCGCAAAACATAGCACAGTGTCATCCCACGGATGTCCCCAACTGGATGAGTTGCCCCAAGGTAATTATGAACATCCTAAGGACATCTTCAATTGGATGGTTTCTTACATTTCAAAAAGGATGTCTTCAGGACATCTTAGAGATGTCTTTTAGACATATTCAGTTGAATTCTTAGCTATATCCTTAAGATCTTTTCTATCAATTTTATCAACTTGAATTGGACATAAAAGGGATTATTTTCATCTTAGCATGAGGAAAACTGCAACTGAGGAGAACAAAAAAATTGAGGTCCTAATTTGAATTTATTCCATTATATTCTCATTGTTATCTGATCAGCATTTCTGGGCACCTCTATCCTGCTTGGAAATCTGAGTTCATGCTTCACCTTTAAAGAAATAAGGCCTACTTATCTGTCAATGAAACTGTCCAACTTCTCATAAAAGAGCTATATTTTACTCCATGGATGTCTCTTATATTGGGGTCTTTCAAGCCAAGGAACTCCCTCCCTCTTTACCATTATTAGTCAAAAAATTAAGATTGGAAGGTCCTAGAATATCAAGTAGAGCCATCTTAGAAAATAAGGGGTTGTCCTGTATGGCAGGAAATGAGTCCATTTCATTAAAAATGGCACCCAGATATTTTGATATTGTTGAGATGTCCATACAGATAGTATCTGGAACTTCTCACTTGTCCCTAGTCGATATCTTGGGAATATACTTGTTCTGCAAGATAGGGACATCCTTGAGATGTCTTTATCCCAGACATTTTGATACTCCTTAGATGCCCCAAAGGTAATACCTGGGACTTCTCTACTATTAATCCTTTTGGTTGTGTTTCAAGTACATACTTGTCATGCAACTGACTGCTTGCCTGCATTACCCAAGAATGTACACATCTTAACATCCATGCTTAGAAATTCTTTTTTTCTTGTTAAAGTGTGCATTGTGGGCAAAATCTGTTGGTGTAAAACATTTCATTTTAGTACTATCTATGCTTTAGAATGTGGTTAGGTGTCATTTCCTCCCTAACATTGTCATAGCATCTATGTTTTTGACATGCTTGGAAGTGGTGAGTATGGTGTCTTGAGAGTGAAGAAATTGAATATGTTTAGGTATATTTTAAGCTTTGATATGTTGGAGAATGGTTCATTTTCAGGCTTTTCACATGGTAAGAGTGTTATTAGTAATGTTGTAGCAGAACAGTTTGCTGTTGATCTGTCCCTGATTGCAAGAGAAATGAATCTGATCAGAATCCCTGAAGAAGTGTTCTAAACAATTGACATACTAGAACAGTTCCAACACTGTGATATACATATTTCTGGTGGTATCATGGCTGTCCAGAGGGGGGGGGGGGGGGCATCAGGGACATTCTGCCCTGGGCCTCGCATACCAAGGGGGCCTCTAAAGGACCTCAAAGGTGTCCCCAAGGGGTCTCTCCAGTTTAGCTTTGCCTTGGGCCCCTGGAAACCTCTAGGCAGCCCTGGGTGGTACATAAGAGTGTGGAGTCCTCCTCGTGCCCATGGATGAGCAGAGGGGAAGAGTCCCCGAGTTACTACGCCGAATAGTAATAGCGGACCTCCTCCTAATAGCGGACCTCCTCTCGCCCCTTCACGCCCTCACCTCTGCCCGACACCAGTCCGCCTTGAACCTCCGGCCGGACAGCACGCGGCAGTCCGTGTTGAACCTCCGGTCGGACAGCACGCGGGAGTCCGTCACGAACCCTCGGCCGGACAACACGTGGGCGCGTGAGTGCGCCAGGACCCTTCGGCCGGACGACACGTGGCGTGTCGAGTCACGCAGCCTGACCCTCACCGCCGGTCAACTCAGTGAACCGCAGTGTGAGCCCCGAACTGCGTGCCGGCCTGTATAGCGAACTGCTGTGGACTCACCACGAGCCGACGACCTGGATCACGGTCGGCGGCCAGGAACCAACACATTCGATCGTCCACGTATCAGGACGAAGTGCGTGCGAGCCCCAGCTACAACCGTGAGACTGTATCTCCCTGTATTTCTCCTTCCGGTCTTTCTCCCCTATTGAGTATCCTAATAAATTCTGCACAGTTGTTAACCTAATCTAAGGACGTACCTTTCTTCATACTTGGAGTCTAGAGAGATCTGAGACTTCGCTTCTCCCTCGCTAATTTACCATCTATAAGAACACGCAACCTTCCTGATTACCATCCAGGAACCAACACATCCGATCGTCCACGTATCAGGACGAAGTGCGTGCGAGCCCCTGCTACAACCGTGAGACGGTATCTCCCTGTATTTCTCCTTCCGGTCTTTCTCCCCTATTGAGTATCCTAATAAATTGACGTGTCAACAATTGGATTAGATTCCTGCATGGAAAGAAGTATGAACCTCAGATCTCTCTAGACTCTGAAGCGAAGAGGGAGCGATTAAATGGTAGATATTCTTGTGCGTTGGAAGGACTAATGGTTCCGACCACATTGGGTCTGATCCCCATATGTAGCGAGGCATTCGTGCCCCATATCTTGTGACTCTCGCTAATTTACCATCTATAAGAACACGCAACCTTCCTGATTACCAACCGACCACATTGGGTCTGATCCCCATATGTAGCGAGGCATTCGTGCCCCATATCTTGTGACCCCCTGGGGTTCGCTACATATTTGGTGACTCCCGACGTGGGTTTTGGGTCTTCACTGCATCCCTAAATTTCCTTAGCGAAAGAAGCGATTTCTCTTTACTTTTGCCTCTCTGGTACTTTCGTCCTTAAATTCCTAATTCCCACCCCTCCGAAATTCTTTCGGAATTTTGTTTGCATTTTGCGTCATACTGTGCATGACATCTTCGGATACTTCAATGGCGGAAAACGCACCTGCTGAAGATTCTCCTCCCGCAACCACTCCTCCCTCGACTCCCTCGACGCAAAATCCTCCTCCGACCAAACCCCCATCGCCCCAAATTATTTCTCTGTCAAACGCGTCCTTATTCATCCCGATTTTCGAGGGCCGCGAAGCCCCGGGCTCAGTAGCCCTGGAAGATTTTCTCCAGTCTCTGCAACTCGTAAAGGTCCTGGGAGTATACGAGGACCGACAAATTCTTCACTTAGCCGCCCTCCGCCTGAAAGGAGCGGCGCGTGAATACATCCGAGCTCGACCGAGTCTGTTAACGGGCTCCTTACAGGATTTCCTTCAGACGTTTCGGAAACGGTTCGGAGAAAAGAAGGATCCGGCATCAGCTCTCTCAGAGCTGCTCTCGGTCTCACAGAGACCGTCGGAGAAGGTCTACGATTACGGACAAAGAGTGAAACTGCTGTTAGACGACTTCCTATTGGGAAACAGGATCGCCGCGGACAGTGACGTCGGGAAGGTCCTGACGAATGAAATTGCTAAGATGACTTTCGCTAAGGGTCTAAGCCCAGTCGTCCGCCGTGCGGTTCTTTCTAAGAAAACCGACACTCTTGACGACACCGTAGAAGCTGCTCGGGATGAAGAGCTCAACGCTTCTATCGGTACTGTTACCGATCTCCCCGTCGCACATATCGACGAGACTCATAGACGAGTGGGCGACTCGTGGCTTCAAGAAGAGTTAGAAAAAATCCAACAGAGGCTCGTCATGTCCCTCACGGCCTCCCCTTTGGAACATAGCCAAACGCGCGAATCATGTGGACATTCGGAGCTACAAGGACCGTCGGGACGACATCGAACATCCCGTAATTGGCCGACCCCTCAAGATCGCGCC